ATGCATGTACATTAAACATATATTTGTTTTAATGTTTTTTTTTTACTTTATACTTGATAATAGTTCGAATACTTTTACTACATAGGCTGTCTATTAACGCGATTCACACACCTATCATTTATTAAAATAGTAAGAAATATTTTGTATTCATAAGTAATTAAAACTGGAAACGAGGCATTCATCTTAGTCCACAAGTGTGACAATGCAACTGAATTGGTTCTTAATCTAGGATAGATGTAGATGTCTATGGGTCACAGCATCCACTTACCATAAGGTAGGCTGGGTGATCATTGGTCACTCCTGAACTCTTAATTCATAGCCAGAATTTTTTGTGGAAATTATTTTATTGTTTTTGGTTAAATGAAGTCGGCATATACTTGTTTTAAAAATTGAATTTTTGACCCTTTTAACTGGACTAAAATCACAAGCTCAAGGCAAAAACTAGAATGTCGCCTAAATAGTTAGTTAGTTTTTTAAGTAAAAAAAATCATACCCATTCTCCCCACTCGTAACACTTGTTGATTGTCGTCTGCTATGGGACTACTTTTGTTCATCCCATGCAGGTTTCGGGCCTCGGGGAAACCCCCATTACCCGGGTGATCCTCACGACTCATGACAATGAGCCGGTCTTTGGGAGCCGTACGGCATCGTTGGCTATCTTGGTTGGCGTATTGCGCGCCACCAGGTCGGTGCTACCGGAGGGTCGGCCGTCTCGAAGCCCCGCGGAGTCCTGAGGATGGGAGTCGACGCAGGGCCAATCTTGCCGACAGGAGGGCGTTCCAGCTGCTCCGGACCTCCAGTGCTCCTTCCTGGCTCTAGCTGAAGGCCTGGTATTCCTAGGCAAAAAAAGCTGGCGTGTCTCGCGCCTCTGGGAAGGGAATCTGCCGAAGGGTCAGCAACCTCAAGGTCCCGCGGAGAGTACCTCGACGCGGAGCCGAAGTCACCAACAGGCGCGCGCACTTGGGCGCGCCGGGCCTTCGGAGTTCGCTTCCCAGCGTGTAGGTGATGCGCAGCGTTGGGTAATCTTCATCCCGGGCGGGGTAGGGGCGTCCTCAAGGCTCGACGCAAGCCGAGTTGGCCCCACAGCGCGCGCACCCACTGCGAAGCGACGCGCTGTACTTCTCCAACCCGGGCGGGAGTCGACGACCGGCGGACGTCACCGCTCGTTGGCGCGGTCCAGACGAGACTCGTAACACTTAAACTGCCGCCGTCGGCAATACTTTATACAAAGTGACTGACACGGCAGCCAAAGGCCAAGCCAAAGGTTGGATGTTTTCAGATTTATATGGGATGTAAACCAGTCCCCCCGTGACCATGGCTGCTGTAAAGTGCTCTAAACGTCAGGAATATAAAATATTAAGTTAATATACGCGATAAAATCCGTAAAAAATAATTTTATTTAAAAAAGTAAACCTATTTTTAAATAAAATTAATTTTATTTTTATTTAATTTAATTATATTTAATTTAATGAAATAATAATCACTATATTAAAGTCGGCTAACAATGACTGACAAATGCTACCATATTTTTCCTCGCCGTGTTCTCTTATCTAATACCTGTTTTGGGTTATCATTAAATCGCTTTGCGCATTAACTCGTGATTGCCAACTAAAATTATCTACTAAGGTATCGTTTAAGTACTTCGACATTGTCGTTGTCTTTTTCTTTATTGGTGACCTTAATATGATTATCCAGCAAATGTCCGAGATATTTTGCTTTATCTACTGTAGAGATGTTAATTATTTATTGTCAGAGGCGTTTATTTATAAGTAGTGTGTTTTGGTGGTATTTTTAGTAAGAATGTTATGTTGAAATCATATACTCATAATTGATAGAATCAGGCGCTACTTTCTAATATTCATATTGAGATCTGCTTGGGCATCGGCAATAACTTAAAAAAGGAGGCGTAGAGCATAAGGCCTTTTTTGTGCAATCTTAAATTGCTCGTTTAATTTGGATTACTTATGGCCTCGTGGATTTTGAAAGAAAAACTTTTTAGGTGATATAGTAGGTTGGAAAAAATAGGAACGGTCCGACAGTTACATTACCTCTACGTGGCTTAATCCGTCCCTGCTTTCATTATTGTTATTGATCAACAATAAAAACAGAATGATTTCATTCTTATGTGGAAGAATTCAGGAATTTACAGAAAAATGTTTACAACTTTATTTTAGTGCGCCTAGCTTTAAAATTCTATTTCGACGTCAGTTTTTCCAGACCAATATTATGTTGGATTCTCATTCTTAGGCTAAGGTTTGACCACGTTAGTTAGCGTTGCCATTAGGTCCCTTTTAAGTCACATGATTCTTATAACAAATTGTATTACTTGGATGACGAACTGGAGCCCTAAACTAACGAGCCAACTAAGGGAGGCTTTTAGATTTTTTAGATAAAACTAGCTGCTCTCCGCGACTTGATCGACGTGGAATTGAATACGGATTTCACGGGTGTTGATTATTGTTTTGTGCGGAATTATAATTGTTTTTCTAAAATAAAATTAAGCCTAACTTACTCCTTATAGCGTCAGTTATCTTCTAATGAAAGTCCGGTCAACGTTGGTTCAGCTATTTCGGAGATTGGCCGGAACAAACAGGCACACAGACAAACATTTTGGAAATTGTTTTTTTATTATAAGTATCGTTCGTATCGTATCGTTTACTTTCATGTGCATTTAGTAAAAAGCTGTTATTTTGACATTACAAACAGACCAACCAGATAGAGAGCAGTGTGATCTAGACTGTATCTATACAAATAATTTGTTTAGAGTGTCAGAACCTATAGTGATGAAACTTCGTCGAAGTTTCATCACTATAGGTTCTGACATTCCAACATCATCATCATTACAGCCCTTCACAAGTCCACTGCTGAACATAGGCCTCCCCCAAGTAATGCCACAAAGCACGGTCCTGAGCCACCTGCATCCATCGACTTCCTGCATGTCTTACCAGGTCGTCACTCCATCTAGTGGGGGGTCGCCCTACACCTCACCTACCGGTACGAGGCTGCCCTTGAACCTTTTTTCTCCGACGGCTGTCGGTTCTTCGAGCTATATGGCCGGCCCATTGCCACTTCAGCTTACTAGCCCGTTGGGCTATGTCGGTCACTCTGGTTCTACTGCGGATATCCTCATTTCTAAGTCTATCACGCAGAGAAACTCCGAGCATAGCCCTCTCCATAGCTCGCTGAGCGACTTTGAGCGTCCTCATACGGCCAGCAGTGAAGGACCACGTCTCGGTTCCGTAGGTCATCACTGGCAACACGCACTACAAAACAAACTAAAAAATTACAAAATGGTTATTAATGTTTTATGGCGTGCAAATTATATTAAAGCTCAAAAAGGACTTATTTCGATATTACAGACGGACACTTCAATTTTGTTTATATGTATATAGATATAAAAACATGTTAGGTTTTTGACTTCGCCTGTTTGCTAGTTAGCAATACTTATAACATGCAATTAGCAATACTAGGACTAGTATCAACTTCCGATGGGATAGGGCGACATAATGGCGGATAATGTGAACCCCCCCCCCCCCTCCCCATATCTAGGAATTCTTAACCAAAGAGGTGGAACCTCAATGGTGTCTCCCAACGAATAGGTCTTAAAAAGAACATGGACAAAACAAAGATCATGTATAATGCCCATGTCACACCTATGCCGGTAGTTGTTGGGAGCACTATGCTCGAAGTTGTTGACGAGTATGTTTACCTGGGACAAATAGTCCGACTAGGTATTCCAACTTTGACCGAGAGGTCAATCGACGGATTCAAACATTTTCAAAAGAAACCATTTGGTTAAAAATTCGTGAAACATGTTGAACATTTATTATATGGTTATCGTTAAACATATCTCACTATTATTTTATGTCCTGAGGCACGGAATGCTTGTAGAGATTGCAGTTATAAATTAAAATATATGCTGTGCCCAGCTATAGGGCATACATATTTTAAAATGGTAAACACTGCAGCTTTCACACCTCACTATCACAGAATACCAGCGAAAAATACTATGTTTCGTATGCTGATTGAGTGGAGATAATCAGCTATTCTATCTTAATCCTCAGGGGTAATGACGCAAATTAATTTGATTCTTCAAACAAGATTGATGAAGGTGCCTATGGGCCACAATATCCACTTATCAATGGGTGAACCGTTTGGACGTTTGTCACTCTTCTCTACACAAAAAAGGAGGAAATTAGTGTATATGTGTAGAGATGAAACGAATATCCGGTAACTATCCGGTATTTGGCCTATCTGGCCTAAAATAACTATCTGGCCGGATACCGCATAATAAACAGCTATCCAACCGAATACCGGATTTAAAAAAAAACACAAAATATCGAATTTGGTTAAGTACTTCATTTATGTTACTAATCACAACATTTTCATTTTAAAACTTACAAAATTAATACTCATAGGTACTGCGCTAAGGCACTGGATAAATAATAGTACTACGTAGCTAAGGGCAAATTATGATGAATAAATACTAATTGCTCAGCATTGAAAGGTAACAAGGAGTTTTTTCTGTCTTCATTAAGAAGGCCAGCTACAAAAAAAGTCTTTCGCTGTACACACTGCTGCAGGGTGCTGAGAGATAGATTTTGACAAACTTTGATAAATTTGGGTATTGTGTAGCAATACCTGCCCACCAAATATAAGCGTCACGATCGCGAACAGTTTGCACTGACTTTACGCTTCATGCGATGCACCAAACGGCAATGTTCGGCAGAATATCCGGCATCCGGATATCCGGCGATAAGACTGGCCGAATATTCGGTATCCGGCCAAACAGTTATCCGTTTCATCTCTAATATATAGTACGTAGAGATTAGTAGGTAATGGGAGTTCTGGGGGGCACTTGACCGTCGGCGGAGTGTTGCTCCTGTTATATCGTTTGACTTGACACTGGTGATAGTAACCGTACGAGTCCGTTAACCAAAAAAAAAAGTAGGTAGAACGGTTTTAAAGGCATTGCTGATGATTTGTGTGTTTGTGTACAGGCTGAGCAGCGGCTGGCAGCGCGACGAGCAGCGCGCGCGGAGGCGCGTGAGATACGCATGCGCGAGCTGGAGCGGCAGCAGCGCGAGCAGGAGGATCATGCCGACAAAGCGTTCGACATGTACGCAGGTGGGAGACCTCTTCTGTCTGTACTCTTTCTCTGTGTTTTTTTTTACCTGTACCGTGGAGGCAGTTTACAAGGACAAACATCTAGACCCGGAGCAATTTTTCTAGGCCAGGAATTTATTACAACTGAAAGTGTTTCAAGCAAATGTACGGATAAAGCTATAAATACAGCAGGTATTATGCTAACACGGCCGCGTAGAGATGGCGTAAGAGGGTAACGGGAAATTATACAGGAGATGGGCACCAGCGTCTTCCTAATATCTATCTTTATATTTCAAAATAAATTAAAAATACAACGGTAGGCAACCTGCCTGCCAAGCACTGTAAATATTTGAAACAATTTTTGTAATAAGCTTAAATTCAGTGGACTTTTGATAGGGGTAATGAATTAATTAATTAAGTAATGCTACCCCGTCGTTATTTTAAACCGAGTTTCAAAATCGGGACGGTTCAATATTCGACGCGTATGTTTTTTATGAATGTTCACCGATTTCTCGGAGACAGCGAACACGTTGGAAAAATAGGAGATGAAGATTTTTAAACTTGTGACATTCCGTAGTCCACTCAAGACGGTAAAATTGTTGAAATTAAAAAAAGTAAGACAAAAAAATATCTCCATTTGCTTCTGAAGCTCGGGGCTTTAATTTTTTCATACACTACGTCCTAACACCGACTTCACTCCCTCACTCTTTTGAGGCAGTGACCCCAAAGTGGTTCTTGACCTCCGAAACGAGAACACACCACTTCTCCCTGCGGTTGTCATCTGCTTGTAGCGCGCGCAAGTCTGCTTCCACCCGACAGACATCTACCTAGACATTTATCTAGACTAGACATCTACATTTATCTTCAATTAAGAATCAAAATGCAGATGCGTTGTCACCCGTGAGGACTAAGATGGAATGCCTCGTTTCCAGTAAAAAGGGTCTCCGGTTCCCTATTTACCATACGAAACATAGTAGTATTAAGCTGCTATTTTACGCTGATTTTCTCTGAGAGCGTGGAGGTGGAGCCGACCCATTCGTACTACAATCATATAAAGCTGCAGTGTGGCTCTACCACGTATGAATTTGGAACTGGTGTTTGCCTTGTGTGTGGCTGCGACATGTGAAAACGTTGTTAGAGGATCAATAATCTTAAACCGCGCAGTAGATGTTGTAAAAGTCGACTTTTTTCTAAAACTGAAGTTAACGAATTTGCAGTCCACCTGATGGTGATGGTGATGGCTGATGCATGGACGACACCCGAAGTCAACTTCAAACATAGAAGGCTACACATGCGGTGTCATCTCCGAGGGTTTCATGAAATTCCGTACAGCCTGTAATAATATTGGCCCTCTATACCCTTTGGGAAGTAACAGAATGGTATCATCCCAGATGGATTCCCAGGCGGAAGAAGAATCCTACCACTTAGTTCAACTAGTCGACTATAGGAAATGCGATAAAATCTTTTAGCTTTGGACAGATGGCAAGAGAATCACTCCGAAATTTAACCGATTTGTGACAGGGGGCAGCTACTACGGTGTGTAGTTCCTGTTACAAAGTTTAGATGTAAAACATTGACTCAAACAGACTGATGATATAGCCATAAGAAAAAAAATACTTAAACATTTACTCTCGTTTCCAGAGACGGTGGGACGACGAGGGGGTCGGCTAGCAGCACTGAGTCCGTCTATACACTCGCCGCGTCGCAGTTCCGAGGACTCCGCCGATGATGTCTTCAGTATCAAAGACCTAAGGGTAGTTACTTATTAGATATCAATTTTTTCGGGGTGAATGAAGTAAAATAGCCTTTTACAATTTACATCCAACATTTGTTAATGAATTTCAATTTTCAAAAATTCCTGCTTATATAATTTCGTATTCTATCAAGCTTCGATATCCGGCTCTGAGGACCAAATTTGTAAATTTGTGCGTTAAATTACCACTAGACCAGAATGCAAAATAATTCAAAGGAGTGAGGAATGTCATTATAGAAGAGGTATACGTGGTAATTTAATCGAATCGTATGTGAGACTATTCGTTCATTATCATCATTACAGCCTGTCACAGCTCCAATGCTGAACACGGGCTTCACATACGGAAAGTCGCAAAGTATTGTCCTGAGTCGCCCACATCCATCATTTACCTGTAGGTTCGATCAGGTCCTACACCAACTAACCGTGGGCCGAGAAAATGGCCCACATACATACGCTATCACATATTCTACAGAAGAAAAACAAGAATATCTGCTGTTATGCCTGTCGTATGTTGACAATCAGTCAAAATTTGGACCGTAGACAGAGAAACCTATAGACTAATGATTAGCATGGCCTCTAGTGAGAAAGGACGATAACGTAGACAGAGAATTCTACGGTTTTAGGTTATACAATAATCTTTATGACTTTTAAACATATTTAGATAAAATTTTAACGTATATTTATATAGTTCTGTAACGAAATTTGAAATAATATTGAATTTAGTCGTAATACCAGATAAAATGTACACACTTTTACTTCCTAAGACACTACATCTAACCATTTTTAAAGTTTTTAATTGTTCTAAGAACTGAACTGAACAAGATTCACTAATCTTAAGCTCACAAAACACTTTTTTCTCACTTAAACCAACTTGTAAACTCCTTAGATTGCTACGAACTGTCAAACAAAAAACCGGCAAGGAGAAAGGGACAAACAATCACACCGCTCTGTCTCATTTCTATGCAAGACGTATGCATAAATCTATCTTTTTCGTGTGCGAATGCGAAAGAAGGCGTCAATTTGTCTATAGGTTTCTCTGTCTACGATTTGGATGGTGCCACAGACTTCAGCAGTGCCAAATAGTGTAGATTGTGTTTAAAAAGATACATAACAGAAAATGAATTTTCCTTGAATATAGGAATTTAGGCATAATGTCAGTGGTCATCATTTTTGCTTTAATCCTTGGTTTTAGGATTCGGGTCTTTGTTGAGGTCGTATGTAAATCTCACGTTGCCTAGGATCGCTGTGATCAAGGGCCATATATTAAAATATAGTAAATAATACTTTACAGCACGAGCTGAAAGAGGTGGAGGAAAAGTTCCGCAAGGCGATGATCCTTAACGCGCAGCTGGACAACGACAAGGCCGCGCTTGGCTACCAGCTGGAACTGCTCAAAGACAGGATAGAAGAGCTACAAGAGGAACACGCACAGTTACAGGTTTGCTATTAAATTGACAAGAATTGTAAATACTAAAGAAGATTGCCGTATATTTGCGGTTTTAGAGAATTCATAAGCCCTTTTGGTCCCGTTCGTGTCGTAAGAGGTGACTACGGGGAAGCCCAAAAAGACCGCATCCGTAATAACCCACGTGGGAGTCGGAGAGCAGCTATAGTCTAATGCTGAACATAAAGCTTATCCATTGCAAAAAATGAAATAAAAATATGAAGAGGACTATATTGCTGGCTGATGAAAAATAAGGAAAATGTTGAATGGATACTTCTTTATCATACACCCGATCTATCAGATAAAGAAGATAGAAAATTAATATTAAAAAACTGAAGAAAGCCGGGCTATGATATTGGGACATCAAACACCATGAGTGCTGTAAAGCACCCGAAACGTCGGGCATTTAAAAATAAGTTATAGTAGTTAATGAAACGCTATAAAATCCGTAAATATAGTTTTATACAATATTTAAATAAATTAATAAAAATATAAAAAATTTATATTAACTCGATAAAATCCTTAAAAACTAGTTTCATTTAAATGTGGTGTTTGTGTAAATATAAGAAATTATGATTATAATATATTTTGGTGTACTACTTTAAATTTTTCTGAGAGGAGAAAACCCTCTCAGAAATGACGGGAGGCCTGTTCCCAGCGGTGGAACGTATATAGGCTGTAACTTTACTTTTACTTTTAAATTTGTTGAAGTTCTAAATTCCTGCAATGTATAAGATATTATTGTCTTTCATGTTAGGTCATCTTATAATGATCTCTTTAAATTTGTGAAGTATAAACCATTAATGATGGCCAAGTGTGATTAGAACAAGCATCGAAAACGAGAGGAAATTCGTTAATTATGAGGCTAGTTGTATGCGTAACGTCATACGTATATCTATAGTATACTATCTTTGTGTACATCTTTGGTGAAGTGTACAAGGGCGCGGGGTGGGTACGGTAAAATTTCTTTCACGTAATTGGTCCATTGGTACGTCATTATTATACGTCATTTAAATCCGTATCCGTGTAAATATAAGAAATCGTTAGTTACGGTACTTATAACAAAAAATATTTTTTCAAATTCTTGTCTGTATCTTTGTTCTAATCTCTGAAATGTTTGGGCCGGAATTTTCCCTGGTAGATAGCTGATGTTATAAGAAGTAACGTACAATTTACTTATTGCTTTTATTTTAGAGAAAGAATGGGTTCTGCGAAAAAAAAAGAAATGAAATCGTAATAAATTTGACGCAGACGAATTCGTGGGAAACAGCTAGTTAGAAATAAAGAATGACCTTTTACAGCATCGTTGTTGCAATGTGCTCTGGCTATTGTTTTGCAGCGGGAACACAAAGAGAAATGCTCGGCGCACGAGCGCCTGAAGCGCGAGCACGCGGCGCTGGAGCGCGAGGTGGCGTGCGCGCGGGACGCAGTGCGCGCGCGTGACGCGGCGGCGGCAGCCGCGGGCTTCGCCTTCGTGGACGCGGCCGCCGAGCCCGCGCCCGCCGAGCCCGCGCCCGCCCGCACCGAACCACAGGGCTTCGGCAGCGTGCCGCCGCTCGCGCTCGTCTCGCACCACTCTGAGCAACTACTCAACGACGCCGGCGAGGGCACGCTGGGTGAGTCGCCGCTCGCCGCCCACCACGCTACCAAACACCTATGTTTTTTCATTTGATTATGGATTCATACTGTTGTATTTTTGCCATGGTGGAGTAATAAATAACAAAAAAAAAAATATCTTCTTTATATTGCTGCGTCACATTGAAAAGTTTTTGTGAGATTTTGACGGCAACACGAGCCAACAGACAGTCAATGACGACAGTATCTCAAGACGCCTAATCAAACACATTATCTTAAAGTTTACATCACCATCAGAGCACTCGTGTGATTGTAACTAATAGTTTACATGCAGATATTTAATACACGCAATCGTACCACTTATGCATATCAAAATCCACTTTAAACCATTATTTATACAATGAAACCAGTGCAGCAACCCAGGACCTATGTTTCAAACTTGATAGGACTCCTTTTCTGGCTAGAAGTCCGTGTGCGAAGGTACCACCAACCTCTTACCTATTTCTGGTGCGAAATGCAAATATTTGCACTGCTGTATTCCGTTCTGAGCGGTATAGTGAGCCAGTATGGTGAACACTATAGTTACAGGTATGAGGCATTCCATCTAAGCCTTCAGAGGTGACAGTGAATCTCTAGCCTATTTTGTTTGAGGTTGGTTGTAAGTGTTCATGGACCTCAGTAGTGACCGATTCCGTTATACCCAATGTTAATGACATTGAATGTCAAAGAGCAAACAGTTTTAATAAGTTCCCTATTGCAGATGTGCGGTTGCAGAAGTTGGTGAGTTCGAAGCAAGCCTTGGAGTCGGAGGTGCGCAAACTGAAACTTAGTCTCAACGAGGAGCGTGCCGCGCGACAAAATGGAGTCGCATCGCTACATGAGCGTGAACACGACAGCGAACGTCAGTATTAATAGTTTACTAAATAAGCTATTAATAGGCTCTAATGATCATGTTAAACTGCTTACTAAAAATATTATCTGTCTCGAAGGACCTATTTACTATTATGGTTATTTCTTAAATATCCGACTGTATATCTAAATAACGTTATCCGGATCGAGGAACCATTTCATCAACACAGTAGGAATTTGTAATCTCCTCGGATGGAACGAGTGGGATTAATGGTTGTATGGCCGAAATATAGACCCCATCGTATTTATTTCATGAGATTTTGCTTTTACCGTCCATTTATGTGCTGTGTGTAAAGATATCTGCATGACTTTCAATCAGGTGTCATTTAATTGGTCTAATTAATTGGGGTAATGCATCGTGTAAAGACCACACTGTAGCCTTTAAAACGTGCTTTACAGTGGAATCTTTACGCAAATCTGTGGCGGAGGCGAAGGGGCGAGCTGCGCGAGCGGAGGCTGAAGCCGCGCTACAAGCGGCCGCCGTGGCGCGTCTCGAGGCGCAGGTGGCCCGCCTGCGAGCGCGCCAGGACCACCAGGACGAGCACGAGGAGCAGCTCAAGCAGGAGCGGCGACGTCTGCAGCGCGAGGTACGTCCGCACTGAGCTGCAAGCGGCCGCTGTGGCGCGCCTCGAGGTGCATGTGGTCCGCCTGCGAGCGCGCCAGGACCACCAGAACGAGCACGAGGAGCAGGTCAAGCAGGAGCGGCGACGTCTGCAGCGCGAAGTACGTCCGCACTGAGCTGCAAGCGGCCGCCGTGGCGCGCCTCGAGGCGCATGTGGTCCGCCTGCGAGCGCGCCAGGACCACCAGGACGAGCACGAGGAGCAGCTCAAGCAGGAGCGGCGACATCTGCAGCGCACATCTTTCGAAAATCTACTGAAATATTTAATATTCTCGATATCAAAAGAAGAACTTAACCGCAGCTTAACCTGCCATTAGGCAACTTAACAGTAGCCTAATGGCAGGGCGCGGACTGCTAACTCAAAAAGTCGTGGGTTCGAATCCACCATTCGACTACTGTCGTGACACAAATGCTCCTAACACAAGCATTTTCAGCTTACCAGGAGTGGTAAAAAAAAATGAACTCTCTTTATTGACTGGCTGCAGCATCCATATATTGCTTGTTTATCCGTCTCGAAAGACCATCACAGATGTTCAATTTCGCCGTGATTCATGTTAAAAGTCAGTAAAGCAATGTGACGGACGATTTCTGCTCTAATGCGTTTGTGTGCGGAAGAGCCTTGCTGCAGTTATAATTTGGTGTTAACGCAATTGGTTAGACTCGACCGGGAAAAGGCCATGCTCTCATTTTGATTCTTAATTGTAACGCAGAGAGAGTCTATGGGCCACAACATTCAGTTATCATCAGGTGGACCGTTTGCTCATCCTCGTTTGTCACCCTTATTCTACTAAAAAAACTCCCACGGATGGGAGGATATCTATGAGATCTTTATAAGCTGGTGCGTTTGTAATTTACTATCGTAAGCAAACGAAAAAATCTATTTTCAGGAAGTTATTGACTTCTGGGCCGTTATCAATAACGGAGAGTGCTGACGGTATGATTCAATCGACATGTCCTTTCAAGTTTGTGATGTGAACCAACATAGAATGTCCTACTGTTCAAATTAAACCAATTAAACCTCCCATCTAGTTTATTATTTAAAAAGGAATCACAGTTCCATGGTCAAATATGTTTAATTGATTTTTATATCTACTATATTCGCCATATTTAAAGTTGTATAATTTGTATTAAATCATTACATCAAATATCTCCCAAAAAGGATATTGTGGTTCATGGATCTGTATTTTGTAAATAAAGATTTACGTTAAATAATATGCAATTAAATTCTGTATTATTAATTTGCATTTGGCACTTTCCATTTTACAATCTGCATGAGTTTATTTTACTAAAATGTAAAGTAATTACGTTATACATTATACATTAAAATTAAAACATAACCATAACTCACAAAAAATAATATTATAATAGTATATATATATGTAATTTATTTAAACTTTTTATGATATAGATGGGACACAATGTTTTCGCAGTCATAAAAGTTTTATTTCATATGTCACAGCAACCCAACTTTTAAAGTTTGTGACAGAATTAGATCCATATATTATTTATCCAATTTACCTTCATGTATATACAATAATTGTTAAGGGTTGTATGAAATAAATAGTTAAGTCTTTTAAAATAATCAGTTATGTACATTATTATTAACTGTTGCCAATAACTATAGTAAGACATCTTTAAGCAATTAAACTTAATTTCCGCAATGTTATTGTACATCAACTTTTTTATTAATACAAATAAAACCTCAAAAAAATCATCTGAAAAATAGCTCTTACTGAAGGCTCTATTAAAATTATAACAAACACTGGTAAGAAAAAATATCATTTGATAGTTTGAGTGTTCCATGCCGCCCCCCCATTACCTTCTAATGATCCTTATAATAATATCTTGTATTTGATTGATTAAAATACTCCAAAAAGTTTTAAAAAATAACAAATGTCTTTTGTAATGAAATCCTAATATTGCAAAATTTTTGAGCTAGATTTATATTAATATTTATCACACATTTGCAGGCTAGAGAAGCACTGAATCGAGTTGAAGAATTGGAGACAGAGAACAGTCATCTAACGAAACGCCTTGATAAACTCAAGAACGCTAAATCTGCGCTCCTGAAAGAACTGTGACCGACCTGATCCACTTGAAGTCTTATAGGAATTTATTTTGCAATCACTTCATCATTTAGCACTCTGTACGCAATCACGTGAGTCTCTTTGTGACACTAATGTGCGAGCTGTTGTTAATTGGTGTTTATTTGTTAGCGTCAAATTTGTCATACGCAAATAATGTCATGTAAATAATAGTTTAACGCATGTGAAGTTATCTATTGCACATTTATAGAACTTTCTAACAAATTTATACTAAAAGAGCAATAAAAACTGCTATTTACAGTCAGTAGCTGACAGCATACTACCGATGTGACGAGCCGTCTCGTAAGTAGAGAGGAATTGGCACACTCGCTGCACTAAATAGTCAGTGTCAGATATCTGGCACCGTAGAGTTCCATTCCTTTCGATTCCAGATTTAGCCACGTTATTCACCTGGAGGAGGAAATGATTTCCCTTATGCCACATGAAATGCCACAGAAAGACTTGTGAGCTTGTGACATTTTAACAAACGCGTTGTATCAGCATATTTTCTAGAATTAAACTGCATTGAAATGCTCGGTGTTGTCTGCAAAATACATTAATACGTAAAGTTTTTGTTTATTGTTGCTACTATTATAATATAATATAGTTATATGTTTACAAATTTTGAAATATCACTGCCTTCATACTAATTTCCGAATGTACGTCATTTACAAGCATTTTATTTGTTTATGTCTACAGTGATGTTACTTTGACGCATTTATATTTATTATTTCAGTGCTGAAAATATGTTGAATCAACAGTGTACACCAATATGGTTTTTTTTAAACCTAGGACATTTTAATAGTTTTATTGTACATTACTGCAATTATTAATGATTTTGTAATATAATAATAAATGTGTATAATTTAATTGTTTTGTAATAAATATTTCTTATTATTTATTTTTTACGGCTATAAATATGTTCGTATTCTCTGTATAGAACTTTTATTTAATAGGATTCGCTTGCCGACACGTCGCTTTGTACTAATAATTATTTTCGTTTAGTGATCATTGTTATATTACCTTGCCATGCTCACAAATTCATTTTACATTAGGAACTCGTTACACCAAAATGTGATCAAGTGTAATGTTGAGTTGACCTGAATTTTATGTAAAAATTGTATTTTATTACATAGAATATGAATATTTAAGTGGCATATAGCAGAGGATGTAATGAGATAAATGAATACCATTATAATTATAATCAATGTTGTTTTGTGATTTTGAAGAACTGGTATTATCAACCCTATTTATAACGTACATATGTGATTTAAAATTGGAAATTTAATATTACATTTAGAATATTGTGTTAGACGCTTTTATTACGTAATATAATTGCTCAAAATTACAAACCATTCATTGTGATCGCTGCTAGCACTTACACGTCCATTTTTGCGATCTCTAACAGTATTAAAAATTCATGCATACTAAACCTTGTTTTTTATTATTACTTTGCAAATACATTAAATCAAAAGTATTTCATGTGCATGGGTTTTAATCGAAGAATTTAATGTTTTTTATATAACATGAAACACAGAAAGTTACCACACAATCTGTCGTTAATAAAATATATTTTTATATAAATATTATTAGTGCGAAAATATTAAAAAAAAGTGTGCGATGTGGTATTCTAAATTAGTGTGAATGTGTGGAGTTTACGTAAAATAACTTTTATATACATATATCGTATGTTGACCACCAAGGGCAAGAAACTGCCGTCTTAAATTTAATATAGTTATAGGGGCTATTGGATTTTATAAACAAAGATTAATTACAAAATAATATGGAAATGTATTGCGTGAAAATAATATAATGAGAATTACATAATACTTTAATTTTAAAAATATAAAATGAAGTCTTATCCATACTAACCATAACGTAGTAATTTTTGTTTATAAAATTTAACCGAACATTAGTCATGCTCACTTAACGTAAAGTGCCATTGCGCACCAAATGTCTTAGTATACAATAGATAGACGTTGTAGATATTATAGCAGTGATCGACGGGTTTGTAGCGCTTGTTAGCTGTTCTTATAGAAACAAAAGGACTCTATACATACGCGAGATCTTGAGGACTTTAGGCGGTCTGCCGGTTCAGATTTGTACCAAAAATAAAAATGTATCTACCCATGTTTTAAAATTGCGTGACAAGTCTTGAAACTTTTTATATGCGTAAATGAACGTTTCAGAATGTCTGCAATATATTCTCGTCGTATGTAGAGTTGACTGAATGAAATACTTCATTCGGACTATTTGTGAGTAGGATGTTGTTTTGTATGTATTTTGGTGCTGCATTACTAATTTATATTGTTTTATTATAACTAAGTGACCGTCTTTTGTAAGAAGCGAAACTGACTTAACGATGTATAAATTTGGTTAATTTGAATAAATTTCGCTCTGAATATGTAGTTTTATTTATGCACAATTTTTATACTGATCAAGTTTTGAAATGTACATCTTTTAGTTGCCACCTTAAACGATTCAACCTGGCAACATTTAACGCACGCGCCCTAAGGACTGACGAGGATGTCCAGGATTTGGACGAAGCGTTAGACAAGTTGCATTGGGATATTATAAGAATTACGACAGACACGGTAATCCTCGAATTCGGCAACTTGTTCTATCACCGGCAGGGTGATCATCCTTTCGCAAGGAGGTGGTAGATTTATCGTCCACGGGTCTTTTGTTAACAACGTTGTAAAGATTAGGAATATGTCGACGAGGGTTGCGTATCTTATAAGAAGTCCATCCAGATTTACCCACCAGGCTCGGCACACTCCGGTGAGAAGATTAAGATGTATGAGAATATCCCTACAGCTATGCATTCCTCCAAAACACACTATACAGTGTTGATGGGAATGTGTATAGTGTGGGAAGTGGGGATGCAAAACTGGACAAGAAAGGACGGTGAACTAAAGGTAGGAAAAGTTGGAATCTAAGAGGTCACCAACTGGCCGACTTCATGGAGAAGGAGGGCCTCTTTATGATGAACTCTTTCTTCCAGAAGCGACATCACAGGAAGTGGACCTGATCTAGCCTCGATTGTTCGAACAATGACAAAAAATGAGATTGACTTCGTTATGACTACCTGGCGGCAACTTTTCGATAATCTCTCAGTGATAGCGAGGGTGAAAACCGAACACATTATAGAGGTAACATCTTATGAAATCAACGCTAGTTCCCGTTCGTGCTCTAATCCAAAATCCTGAAAGCTCAGCTCAAATTATAAAATCGTTTTCAGAGCCTAGGAAATCGCTATATACCGAACGATATACAAGATAAGCTCGTGGAAACTGTCCATGCGTTCCGAGCTAATTTCTGCAAGACTCCTAGCAGTGGAACGCAAGAACTTTCCGATCATACTCGTTATCTGATGGCTGTTAGAAGGGATATAAGGCTGCAGTCTTTTCAATAACTCACGTAACATACGGGTAAGAGAAAACGCAAATTACACGCGGCCAGACTTACGCAACTTCAATACAGCTCGTATTGAAGAAGCGATTTAGCGGAACCAAGGCTCTAGTCTTTGCCAGAGTTTTCCAAAGTTGAAGACCAAATATGGTAGCACTGTTCGCGAGACACCTGAGATTTTGAGTGATATTGAGAGGTTCTACGGACAGCTGTATACGTCATCGTTTTAGCCACACGCAAGTGTGAGTTACGATCCAAGAGTAAGTCTTATCCGACACTATTCCGGACGTCAATCTGATCGAGATTAGAACGGCTCTCCAGCAACTTATAAACAGCAAAGCCCCGGGTTTGGATGGAATTACAGCTGTGCTTTCTGAAAGCGGATGGAAAACCAGTGCTTGAAGTCTTTCAGAAGTCTTCTGCTTGATATGGTTCTGATTATAGAGGATTTGCTTTTATCGCCACGCATGGCAGCCGCATAAGATAATACTAACTAATGAAAATAGATGCTATCTAATCTGTAAAACTTCACAAGGCGTCACATTTTTATAACGTTTCATCTCATTATTATGGCGTTAGGAGATATTTTATGGCTTCTGATTAATCGCTTAAACTCTGCGTTTAGCACTGAGTACTTTTACAGTCCCCCATAATTGGAATATTTGGCATAGTTGCCACGTTTGCCCACTACAGGGCTTTTTTAGTCAGGGTTTGTTTCCCTCTGTCACCGTTTATGACACGCATGGTACAAAATGGGGTATTGGAAATTCTTGCATTGCCACTACACGTACACGTTATACGGCTCTAACAGAATACCAGCGTAAAAACGCAGCTTAATGCTGCTGTTTTGTACACCAGTTTTACTAGAAACGAACCATTCTATCTTAGACCTCAAGGGTGACAACGCACCTGCATTTTGATTCTTAATCAGTGATAAATGTAGACGACTATGGGCCACAGCATCCACCTACCATCAGGTGGACTGTGCTCGTTTGGCACCCTTATTCTATAAAAATGAGGAATATTACAGATGATAAATACATAAAATTTAAAAGAAGACATATTTGTAGGACATAGGTACTTGCTCGGTGCGGCAATAGTGTCGCAATCAAACGTTTAGCCATTCAACTCTGCCATAACATCTGAAACCATGTCTTCCTCCATATATTTTATGTAATATGTGATTATATCTAGGTTGTCCATCGGCCGATGCCAGCGCTTCTTCCGTAAGCATCACAGACTGCAACGTGAAATTTTTTTATGTGGAATAATTATAACATTTCGTTTTTATAATTCATAATCATCAACAATCATTCACAAGTCTTCTGCTGAACATAGGTCTTCTCCAAGCGCATTATTTATATTATTCTCATTTACTCGAAATGGAAAATAGGAAAAAAATAATAAAAAAATTACAGTACACATTACCCTTTATTTACAGTTTAATGAGTTAGTTTAGTAAATAGAAAACAACGTGAAATTTATTAATTTAATGGATCAAATTATTCTATAAATGATATTGAGTCGCAGGCTGACCAATGTTTTATTTACAATGAAACAAAGTCTTGAGCGTGTGTAACAAATTG